TCCGCTATTTTGAATTTTTTAAAACTGACATCGGATTCGTAATCAGCGACCCCGAAAACCTCCGAGTAACAAATTTTAGTCGAATTTAGTAGATTTTTAATTTTTTTGGTTTCTTGGGGGTAGTTTACAATAATTTTTTTTACCCTGAGATAAATTTTTGTTATTAATTTTTTTTTTATAAAGTTTACAATATTTTTAAACATATGTTACAGTAAAACGAAAAAATTTTTTTTTTACATATATACCTTTCTTTAAATTTCTGTCATTTTTTGCGTTTTTTGAAGAAGTGTATTTCAAAAAGGGTAGTTTTTTAGAAAATGACATGCATATGGGCAATTCCACGTGAGATTTTAGTCGACCTCTTAAAATCGTTCAAAAATATTTTTTTTTCCATTCTGTATCGAAAAAAACAAACGTATTTTTTTATTTTTGTTTAATTGTCCAAATTTTCGAGTTATGAATTTTCGAAATTTTGGACCTTTAATTGTAGATCTATATTCAGTACCTTATAAGTCCGAAAATATTGAGTTTAGGAAAAAGTTGTCAAAGAATAAAAGATTTAGTTTTCTTTCGACTTTTAAGAAATAAAAACAAAAATTTTTTTTTAATGTTTCTTAATATTTTTCTTAATAGCATATTCGAAATTTTTTTATTTCAGACATGTGTTCGTTTAGTTTGTCGAAATGTGATCTCTTTTTTTGTAAATAATTTTCTCGATTTTTGCCTGATGAGAGCTTTTTAAGCCGAAACATGTAGCAAACAATTAGAATATTTATGACAAATAAACATCTTTAACCGTACAAGGCCTCTTAAATAATTAAACAAAAAAATGTTTTTTTAATTTTTTATTAAAACAAAATTTTTTTTAATAAACAAATTATTAATTTTTTTTAACTTTGGGCCAGATTTTTTTTATTTTTTTTTAATTTATTTATGCCTTATAATATAGAGAAGATTTTCCAAAAATTGCCGAAATGGGCCTGATGTGTTAAATGAGTTTTAAAACATTTTCAAAAATCACTTGCAAGCATCAAAGTGGGATTTTTTTACAATCAACTTTTTAAAACTGTCTACAGCGTAGACCCTTTAATTTAAAACAAAGAACACTCAAATAGATTAAAAATTATACGCTGTAGACAGTTTTAAAAAGTTATTTGTAAAAAAACCCCACTGTGATGCTTGCAAGTGATTTTTGAAAATGTTTTAAAACTCATTTAACACATCAGGCCCATTTCGGCAATTTTTGGAAAATCTTCTCTATATTATAAGGTATAAATAAATTAAAAAAAAAATAAAAAAAAATCCGGCCCAAAATTAAAAAAAATTAATTTGCTTATAGAAAAAAATTTTTAAAAAAATTTTTTGTTTACATTTTATAAAAGTCGAAAGAAAACTGAAACTTTCATTCTTTGACAACTTTTTCCTAAAGTCAATATTTTCGGACTTATAAGCTACTGAATATAGGTCTACAATTAAAAGTCAAAAATTTCGAAAATTCATAACTCGAAAATTAAAATGACCAGTAAAATAGCATTTTTGACACGTCGCGAAAAATAAACTGCTTGAGTATATCAATCGCACTGACGATGAAGAAGTCTCATGTCAGCGATTGGACCTTCAACATGTGGAAGGGTAAATTTTTCCCTTTCCTCCTTGAAATTACAAGAGAAAGGGTAAAAACTTCTTCATCGTCCGTGCGGTTGATATAGTCAAACACTTTATTTTTTCGCGATCTGAGACTCTGTTGCTCTCTGCGCATGCGCAGAGCGCACTAAGAATGCATTGACAGCACCATGTGAAAGTGCACATTTTCTTTTGAATAAAACTTAGTTGTTTTCTCATTTTTTTCAGCTATGCAAGGCGTAGTTACCAAATAGAATACGTCAGTTCACCATTTTCATAAAGAAAATGTGAATTTATATTTATGTACAAAAATGAGACCTCGTGCAAAAATGCTTCAAAATAGCGAATAGTGAAGCCAAACCTGTTGGTTTGTTTACATTTTACAACTTGGACATACCCTTAAGTTCTTAACATTTTTACTCAGTGTTGCCGAGACTATTTACATTTTAGTTAAGCACATAATAGTAAGACTTCAATATTAATGATTTTAAATTCAAAATTTTTTACACTATCCAGTAACATAAGGAACTTAAGACGGATTTTAAAAGTAATTCTGCATAAATCTAAGATATTTTTTTTTAAATTTAAGTGAATATTTTTTTAACTTTTCTTTAAGTTTCATTATGTCTGATCTATAGTATAAGGAATAAAAGTCAAGGCAATGTTGGGATTTAAAAAAATTTTGAAAGGTCAATTTCGGTATAACGGTTGGCTTTTGTATATTATACAGTTTCATAAGCAACGAAGTAATGTTAAGCATTGAATATTGCTCAAGAACGCTCGCGACCGCACCACGTCATAGTATCACAAGTGCCCTGAACATACGTGGAATCCATTCCGGTATCACATCCAATTGTCTCGATACAATCGATCAATAAATATTTATGAGCTATTAAAGTGATGTTACCACATACCTTACGTGTTCTCTTTTCCTTCCATGTACCGCCAATGTCCCGCTGCTGAATGAAATTCCATTTCAATGTTTCTAGAGTTGTCAACTTGAAAATTTCAATTCTCATTTTCATTTTACATTTAAAAATATAATTAATATTCATAAATTGAAAGAAAAATTAAATTTAATAAATAATATAATTAGTATATTTATAATTCCTTTTTTAGTATTTTTTAATGTAGATTTATAAATTAAAATACTTTCTTAAGTATCAATTTAATGTTTGTGGTCTGACTGAAGTTCATCTCGCAAGGTCATGGTTCACTTTGGTACTGTCCCCTGTCTTACCAATTAAACGAAATATCTGCTATCGTAAAATTTTCGTCGATCATTATAAAGGTTTCATTCAACGATATTTAGCAGTATAATTATTAATTACAGGCACGCTGTCAGTGTCAGTTCAATCGTGTCAATGAGAAACCGGAGAAACCATCCTGAGAAATGACATTTTCCGCGTCTACACTGAAAGAAAGCTATTATGAAATTTTATAAAAGTATTTTACAAGTGTAGGACAAAATGATATAACTTTACTAAATATCATATAATTTTTTTTATGTTCAGTACTTCTGATATCAAAATTTGCCTTTTGAAGTTAATCAGATCAAAACTCTAGAAGTTATTGGCTAATTAGTCTCCTATCCTCTAAAACTGTAACTCCGCACAGTGGGGCAAAATAAAAAAAAACTGGGTTCAAAATAGTCTACACGTTTCAAATCTTAACGGATTTTCAAATTTTTTTTAAACACTCATTAATGAATTTTGAAGAGATCTCTCGAGGTCGAATATAAAATTTTTTATTAATTGTTTAAACTATATTGTTTAAAACAATAATAAATTGCACTTTTTTAGTTTTTGATGTATAAAATTTTGTAAATAGTGTAAAAACGTTGTTTCTAGCTTTTAATTAGTAGTAGCCTGTAAATTTCTGAATATTTACAGTAAATGTATAATGTCCAAAGAAAGTAATATACTACTCGTCACTCGGGGGTTTCCAGGTCGCTGATTATGAATCCGGTGTAAGTTTTTCAAAATTAAAAATGGTGGATCTAATAAGGCGGACGACTTTTTTGAAGTTGATCCAATTGGTTCGAAACTTGTTACTCGGGGGTTTTTGGGGTCGCTGATTACGAATTTGGTGTTAATTTTTTAAAATTTAAAATTGAGCCGATCGCTAGAAAAACGACCTAAGTCGACTTAAGTTTTTGACGAAAAAATTAAATTAAAGATTCAGAAACGAATTACTAATATAATTTACGTATTAATTATATCGCTCATTTTTCTCAATACAAAGGTATTATCAAAGAATACTTTAAAAGAAAAGAAGGTCGAGTAAACAATGTTTTGCTACTTTAATAACATTATTTTATAACAAATGACTTAAGTGGTTTTTCCGGCGAACCACTAAAAATGAAACAAAATTAAGTATTTTATAAAAGAACCAGTGTAGAAATTGCCCTACTAGGGCCATAGTAAGGAATGAAACGCCGCGCCCGATCAGGGCCAGATCGGGGCGACAAGAAAATGTGGATTTCCTGATCAGGGCCACATCGGGCGCGGCGTTTCATTCCCTAATAGGTCGGCCCTATCCGGCCCTGATCAGGGCCCCAGCGAAATTTCTACACGGGAACACTTTTATTTTAATGTATTCAAACATATTTATTATTCTAAAAAGTCTTACGATATATTTTATAGTAATATTCAATTAAATATCAACATTATAATGCACAAGTTTAGTTAACAAAATGAAAAAATTACTCGCTTTTGTAATAATCCAAAATTTTTGAAAATTTCAAATTTATAGTAGTGAAGGCTTGTAGGAAAAACCTTCTTTAGTATTTAAAAAAAAATTGAAATCGGTGGAGATTTGTATTGTCGGCAGAATTTTGTCCAAAACACTGCATTTCTTCCCACTGTGCGCGGTAGCAGAGGACGCGTGAACGCGCGCTTGCGTAAGTGCTTCAATTTCGGGACCCAGGAAGTTTAAACACCTCAATTAATTCATAAATAGTGACCTACAACTTTAGAAACTTGATATATGCAATCTATATGTCTTGTAGAATACACTGATAACAAAATTTTTAAAAACCGCTTAAGTCGTTTTTCTAGCGAACGGCTCAATTGCGGATCCAATATGGCGGAATATGTAAAAAATTGATCCAATTGACCTGAAACTTTTTACATGAAGGCTTTCGAGGCCACTGATTACGAATCTTATGTCAGTTTCATAATATTTTCAAACTTATGAGCTACTGAAAATAGGTTTACTTTTACAAATCCAAAATTTTGAAAATTCATACGTAAATTTCACGTGGAAACGCCCATATATACATATCTTCAGTAAAATAATTCATCCTAAAGATTTCCGGATTAGATATAGATTTTCCAAGTATATTTTACATATGAAATTGTTATTATATGTTTCAGGAAAACAATTGCCTATACTCGCACATAAGATGGGGTGAGGCATTCGTCATTGTTTACAGCGTGACCTGCAAACAAAGCTTTCAAGAGGCGAGAGGACTTCTGAAGCAACTGGCGGATCTTCGTTTACCATCTTATTTCACTGCCCTTCTACTTGGCAACAAACGAGATCTCGATCATGCCCGGTTAGTACACCCTCCATATAGTATTCCTATTGCTATCATTCACGGAAGAATCCACTGTCCTGGGTCATACCACCAGCGAAGTGAGATCAGTCGTTCCTTGAACCTACTCTACTTGCTTTGATAATCGGTTTCTCCCTTAAACCGGTTTCTCTCCTCTTTAATTTGACCTGACGATCAAGATTCCCTCTCTCTACATATTTCCTTTCTCTCTCTCTCATATATATATATGTATGTATATATCCAATCAGAAATTCACTACTGGCGCAGTAGTCAAAAGATGGCGTAACTTTGGGATGATAATATTTTGCCAGTACTGATTCCCAGAGTTGAGGGCATTTCAAACATTAGGACGTCACAGTTTTACAACACAAATCTTTCCCGTATCTTGTTAATGGAGTTTTGTAATAATTTTTAATGAAAATTGTTGGAAAATGTTAATAATAATATAGATTACGTCTGTTATGTACAGATTGATTGAAATTTTAGGTTTAAAAAAATGTTGAAGAAATTTTAACCTCTCAGTGACAAGTTTTTCAGTGTTTACACAAAGCTAAACATCTGTTTAAAGATGCATTTTTCACGTAAAGTTACAATCAATCTGCATAATGAAATCAACCTCAAAAAGCATGTCAAATTTTTGGTAGTATACGAATTTTTTTTTAAATTAATGGATTTTTATGAAACTTGATATCTTGGGGTTTTGAGGTCGCTGATTACAAATCTGAAGCCAGATTTCCAAAATTAAAAATGGTGGTCGAAATTATTTGGAAACTAATGATTTTTTAGAAATTCCTTTTAAAGTTGATGGATTTGGATGAAACTTGGTACCCAGGGGTTTTTGAGGCTTCTGATTATTTATTGGAAGATATATTTTCAAAATGACGGACGAAATTTTTAAAAATTGATGTATTTTAATCGAATTTGGTATCTAGGAGTTTTTGGGGACGCTGATTACGAATCTGAAGTCAGATTTTCAAAATTGCAGATCCAAAATGTCAGCCAAAATTATTAGCAATAATTTGTTTGTATTGTGGACTCTTTTTATTTTCTAAAAAGTTTTGTGATAGTACCTTAAATTTTGACTTCAGATTCGTAATCAAAAACCCTAAGATACCAAGCTTCATCAAAATCCATCAATTTTTAAAAATTTCGTCCGATATTTTGAATTTTAAAAATATGACTTCAGATTCGTAATCAGAGACCTCAAAAACCACTTGGTACCAAGTTTCATCAAAATCCGTCAATTTTTAAAAATTTCGTCCGATATTTTGAATTTTGAAAATATGACTTCAGATTCGTAATTAGAGATCTCAAAAACCCCAAGGCACTAAGTTTCATCAAAATCCATCAATGTTTAAAAATTTCATCTGCCATATTGGATCCGCCATATTGGATTTGGAAAATATAACTTTAAATTCTTAATCAGAGGCCTCAAAAATTCCTGGGTACCAAGTTACATCCAAATCCATTAACTTTAAAAAGAATTTCTAAAAAATCATTAATTTCCAAATAATCTTGACAGCCATTTTGAAAATCTGGCTTTAGATTTGTAATCAACGACCTCAAAAACCCCTGTATACTAAGTTTCAAAAAAATTTGTATACCACCAAAAATTTGACATGTTTTTTTGAGGTTAGGAAAAAATTCAGACCTGATGGACGCTATTTTTAGGGGTTTCAACCCCCTTTTATTCGAAAACGAGACGTGATGGGAAGTTTTCGACCCCGGACTCGTGTTCAGCATGAAAAATCCGTTCGGAAACACTATGTCGCGTTCTATTCGCAGACGATAAGTTAAAATTTGCAGCGGGCTGTGTTATGAATTTAATATCAAATATTAGAATTGACAGTTGACAGCTGTCAAGACAACTGTCTACATTTTTAAGAAGGTATTTATTTTAATAACATTGACAGTTTAATTGTTTTTGAGCTCGTCAATCATGAATTTAATGACAACTGCCAATTCGGTTATTTGACATCAAATTCATAATCAGCGACCTCAAAAGCAAGTAACAGATTTCATGTAAATCTATCTATGTTTTAAAAAATTGTATGCCACATAAATCCGACAGGTCTTTTGAGGTTAGAAAAAATCGTGATCTGATGGAATTAAATGGGCATCGGATTTGGATTCAGCGACACCCCAAAAACATAAGGATCAGAACCAGAATTTTTTCTGTGATATTAATGTAATTAACTAAAGTTTTATTTTTCTTATTTTCTTCTTAAGTTTTTTATTGATTTATAACAGAAAATTCAATTAAATTTGAGTTTGGGAATACTTTGGGAAATCCCAGTTGTTGTCAAGTTGGGTTGACCCAAACTTTGCCCAAGTACACTAACCCTGCTCCCGGGGGTTGAAATTTCAGTTTAAAAAAAAGTGGAGTAGGGTGTCTATTCCTATGTTTTTTGGGCCGCTAAAACCAAAAAAGACTACCAAAAACAAATTCTTCCCTCCCTTAACCCCCTACAACCCCCTTAACATCCGAAAGGTGGGGGGTCGAAATTCGAATTTTCACGAAAAGTCGATTACGGTGTCTAAACCTACGTTTTTTGGGTCGCTGAAACCAAAAAAGACTACCAAAATCAAATCCTTTCCTCCCCCGACCCCCTACATCCCCCTGCAATAATTTTTTTCAAATAAAACGAACCGATTTTTGGGAAATTAAAAATTAAATATTAATTATCAAAAATTATTTCAGGGGGTTGTAGGGGGTCGAGGGTGGAAAGGACTTGATTTTGGTAGTCTTTTTTGGTTTCAGCGACCCAAAAAACGTAGGTTTAGACACCGTAATCGACTTTTCGTGAAAATTCGAATTTCGACCCCCCACCTTTCGAATGTTAAGGGGGTTGTAGGGGGTTAAGGGAGGGAAGAATTTGTTTTTGGTAGTCTTTTTTGGTTTTAGCGACCCAAAAAACATAGGAATAGACACCCTACTCCACTTTTTTTTAAACTGAAATTTCAACCCCCGGGAGCAGGTGTAAGGGGGTGGTAGCGGGAAAATGTCCGATGAAAAAAAAATTTCATGGTCATATTCGGTTTCAGCGACCCCAAAAACATGGGGATAGGGGGGTGTGACCTCTGGGTTTTGACTTTTTTATTTTTTTGTGTGCCTGTGTAATGTAACTGTAACATTTTAACATTTGAAGAAAATTTAATAATTTGGTAATTATATGCAGTTAAGCATAATTATATCACCTGCAGTTAATTTGCAGGTACTTATTAGGGTGGTTCTTATTTTGGAAAAGTTGAAATTTCTTAGATCGTCAGCCAGAATTTAAATTAAAATGTAAAAAAATGACCTACGCACAAGAACAGCCCATGTAAGCTGATTGTGAGTTTGATGCACTTCTGCAAACGTTGAATTATAAATATATCAAAAAAATATCGAATTATTAAATATCTAAATATCGATTGATAATTTTTTTCATTCTATATTTAAAATCTTCTAATTTTATCGGTGGACAAATTTTATCTTTAAAAAAATTATAGTGATATGACTTTTGGGTTAAAATTTATTTAGCCTCACGATGCATATATTTATACTATAACTCATTGTAATTATTCTCTAGGACCACGACCTTTGAAATAATTTTTAGGTTATATAATTGCCTCATGACCTAAAGTTATGCTGAAAATACTAATACAGCTCTTATTAGACTGGAATTTCTAGAAAGTTTTGTAAAATATATTGCAGATTCCTAAACTCGTAGAGGGCAAATTTTTTTCATAATATAGGAAGTACAAAAGTGTAATTTTCAACTATTTAAATTATGTACGTCGATTTTATTAATACTGGTCATTTTTTCTTGTCCTTTCTTTTATTGTTGCTTATTCCATGTCGTTAGTGAGCAATCTATGTTACTTGATATTTGCTGGAGAAGCAAAAATGATAAGCTCACTCAACTTACAAAATATTGTGTATCCCCAGGAAGAAAGTAATAAAAAAAAATTGCACGCTATAAAAATGCGCTTGCAGACTAAATTAGATACTCTTTCAATGCTTCTGAAGAAGAACGAAATAAAAAAATATGAGCTCATTTTTGTTGCATATCATTTTGAATAGGCATCGAATTAAGTAAACAGATAATACTTCATCCAGGTAGAAATTTCAACTATAACTGTGCGAAGTTTTATTTAGATCTCCTTTTATTCTTAAAAATAATTGTATTTAATAGTCTTTTGTTTTTTTTATTTTTGGGATATAGGGGAGAGTGGGGCAAAGGCGCTAGGTTTACATTTATCGATGTATATTTTTTAAATTAAGCAATTAATTTATGTAGTCTTTGTTTTTCATTATTCTAAAACTAATCAACAAGAAATTTTAATAGTTGTTATTTAGTATATTATAATTATAAATACATTATTTAATGAAATTTAAAAACAATGCAAAAAATGCCTTTGCCCCACACGCTGGGGCAGCGACGTTTTCGCTTATATTTCTAAAAGAAAGCATTTATAAACCTTAAAAAAATTAACAATTGATATTGATTAGTATAATATTTACGAAACATAAGGTTAACAACATATTATTAAAAGAATTAAATTATTTAAATAAAAAATAAAAACTTTTAGTGATTTTAACCTTATATTGTGAATTAATACATAGAAAATTCGAATATTCAATTGTTTTTAACCAAATTATGTTCAATATTGCCTTTGCCCCACATAACAAACTTTTTTTTTACTTTAAATTAAAAATATTTAGATACAAAATTAAACTAAAACACCACGCCAGTTGTGTAGAGAAATATTACATGTTACGTTTTTAAAAATTAAATACTTAAACTTATGTTTTAAAAAATAAAAGTTTGTTCAGTAAAATTATCATTTTATTTTTGCAAAACAATTTTTTTGTTATATTTCTTAAAATATTTGATATTTTTAGGTTTTTCTTTTTTTAATCAATTCCCAATGGGAAGTAAACGATTGGTTCAATAATGGGCCATGCTTGGCGAACTCCGTTCCATTATTGGAACATTAATGGCAACCATCATTGG